ACCAACAAGTCAGAACAGATAGAACCACCACAAATAGTAAACCATATATTATAATCAGAAACAAAAACGGAACTTGCCTCTTAACTGACATAGCAATAAGGACTGACAGGAATGTGATTAAGAAGAAAGCGGAGAAGATCTTGAAATACAAGGACCTCCTCATAGAAATACAGAGAATGTGAAAGGTTCAAGCAAAAATAATCCTAGTAATTAAAGGAGCAACAGGAACTCTCTCCAGGTCACTCGGGAAATATTTCGCTAACATCCCGGGCAAACACGACATCAGGGAACTGCAGAAGCCCGCCATTTTGTGGAACATCATACATCATCCGAAAGACGCTTTCGTAAAATAAAATTAAATAATACATGTGGCACTTGCTAAAACAATATGTATCCCGGAAATAGCTGCTGCCCTATGTACCTTACGGACAAGGCCTGTCTCGGGTACATGGGAGTACATACCCCATAAAGTGGTGAATACATGGGATATAATAATAATAATAATAAGCATTCCTGATTTTATTCGTGTGCAACAGACCTAGTCAACAGTGATTTTGCTAAAATGTTTCATCTATATCCGGTTTTTCCAACTGTGCTTTTTATTTTAAGATGCGGTTGTTAGTTTGTGTACACGGGCTGAGAATATTACAGTGGTGATTTGTTAAATAATATTTAGACGAGCTTCGGCTTTAAAATAGTTATAAGTGAGACATAAGAATAATTCTAAAAGTTTACATTTTTTCATACATCAACTCTGTTAAAGATATGTAGCGAGTTGTTAAGAATTCATTTGATTTTCATTCTGAGTATGTACGGAGTAGAATTGAAAAAATAAACTGTTAAATACTCCATTCCATTACCAAAGAAACATTCATAATTGTTACGTTATAGTTTTGGTCGGCTTTGTTTACTCTGTTGTTTATTGTAGTCAACAATCGGCCTTCGTTAGTGTGGAGAGAACTGAGCTGTGAATCGGTTGTAGATAAAGTGCGCTGTAGAAGAGATATTTTGTGCTGTTTATAATCTTTCAGAATAACAAGTACTTATCTTTTACGAAAGTGAAAATGGGGGGGAGCTCCGTCCAGTTGTAGAATGTAATCGTCATAATTGGTATTCAGTTGGGGTAACAACCAGCTTTCCAAATTTGAAACCGCGCCATTCTTTTGCGTATACCCTGAATTTTAATGTTATTATCATTTTTCAACATATTTACATGCTTTCATTGATACTTATGAACAATTGTAAGAAAATTAACCTCATATTTCTTCTTATACAATTTCAAATTAAACCAGACTGACTTCTATTAGTTTACGGCATCATTTATAGTAAAATAATGTCCTAGTAAATAATTAACAATTTAAAATTTTAAAGGGTAAGACGTGTTCAGTAGCCTAGAATCTTAATAAAAATGTATCGCATCGATACTTCACACTCTACAAAATTTTCACCTGGTGTGAACAATGAAACACGTGGCGTATTACATGACATTGCATCTGTTTTTCACATGTAGAGCTTCGCGGTTCTGTTTAGCGATTGCTAAAATCGTATTGAATCTCGATAGGCATTTCTATGACTAGCAAACAAACTGACGCCACGGAGCCACGTCCTGCTTGAGAATCTAACAGCAGCGCATTTAATCAAATGTTTCGCTTTTAAGGAAGCCGATATTTGATTACCAAGATTACTACAGACCCCGGACCTGGACCATATCCTGAAGCATATGAAGTCAGTCCGTATCCGCAAATGCATTTACTTAGTGTCAATTTTAATATTATCATCATACCAGTATTTGGGTTTCCGAAATAATCTCTTCCTTTCGGGTTTTCCGACAGAAACGTTGGATTGCTTGTCTCTTATGTTTGTACTACATCTCATCATCCTTGATTTTATAACCTGAGAAAAAATGCCAATTATAAAGATCCACTTTGTGGAATTATACGTGTTCTCAGGTAGGACCAAATACCGGGTCTACAATTTATGAGGCTGCGGTCGTGCTTGCATTGCGTTGTCGGCCGGCGCTGTTGACGTGCTTTCTTGAGAAATTGCCGAATATTTTCTTTAAGTTCTGCAGTGTGCGGATTGTTTACATAAACTTTCTTCTTCAGCATTCCCCACAGGTAAAAATCGCACGGGTGTAAGTCTGGGGAACGCGGAGGCCACTGATCGATAACTTGTTCACCAAACACTTCTCTTAATGCTAACATCGACCGATCAGCTGTGTGAGCTGTAGCATTGTCTTGCACGAAGAAACCGTAAGTCTTTTCTTCATCGGCCATTTCTTAGAAAAAGGGTCTAACTATTAAATTTACACAACGTTCACAATTTACCCGCACACTGCAGAAGCAGTTAAAGAAAATATTCGACAATTTCCCA